TAGGGTGAAGATGAAGGTGTGACCTACCTGCCAAGTTTCAACGAAATCGGCCAAGCCAAAAAAATCACAGAAGAAATCATACGTGAAAACACTGGAAATGTACACACACAGACACACACACAAAACGACAAAAGTGATTATAAGGCCAATACCACACTTTTCCCAGTAGATGTTTTGAAAACTATCAAAAATAAATTTTGTTCACAACAGAAAAGTACTACCTGGGGGTACTTTTCACACACTGTGCCGCAGACTTGTTTTCGTTTTAAAATTAATGAATCAATGTATATCATCACAAAGAAAGCGTAAACAGATGTTAACTGTCAAGGTATACAAGAATAGCCGCACTTTAGATAAGAAGCAAATGTACTGTTTCAAAAAGAACAAGTGAAAAACATACACATACGAGCAAACAAGTCAAGACTCAGCCAAGTGTTGAATAGCTATTATACATTGGCAAATACTGTAGAATACTTTATTTTCGCTTGGAATTTATTTTCGCTGAAGGCACGATTCCGTGAAAATAAAATCCAGCGAATATACTTTTTTTCCTATATTTTACATTAAACTCATCAAAAATCAGTGAAAATAAATTCCAAGCAAAACGCCCAAAAAGCCTTTTCAGTGAAAATTAATTCCAGAGAAAATAAAGTATTCCACAGTAAACAATGCTCAGTGACCCCAGACATACATTCCAAGCTCTATACATCATACAAAACTGATACAGTCCACAGTTCAGAATGCGTCTTCAAAGGTTCCTGACAGTTAAAATCTTGATTTAAACACATCTCTCCCCAAGATGATTCAAAATTCACGAAGATGATTTTATTTGCTTTTTATTTCATTTTACTTTAATAAGATCCTGCAAAAATCAGTCCAGTTAGGGGTGATTCATTATGAACACTGGGGGGGGGGGGGGGGGGGGCAGCAGAATTGAAGAAATAAATGCTGCATTGCATAGGAAAAATAAATCGTGCAGAAGTCATATTTTTTTGATCTCATGCTGCTATAAAAATAAATTACTTTTCTAAAAAAAAAAATTGTACATTTAATTTTTTTCATTTTTCCCTATATTTTCCAGATTTTTTTTATTACATTTAAAAGTTTTCGAGGACCACCACTATGAAATGAAAATGTACACATTTATGGAAGTTTATATATCAGGTAATGAATTTCTTCATCACAATACAACTTAT